ATAAGAGGTGCGATCGCCTCGCAACACATGTCTTCTTGTTTAGCGCTAAAAATCGGATATATAAACAAAACACACACACACACACATACACACAGAATGGAGCTGAAAACCCTCTATTTCAATTTTGACTCACCATTACGAAAGCGTTTTCTCCGTTCTATCTCGAGGAAACGACTAACTATTGAAATCTCAGCGCTTGATGAGCTTATGGTCTTGTCAATTCAAGCGCCGTTAGTCAGTTAATTATGCGGATTTACAAGCCCAAACTTGAATACAAATTAGTTCATCTCTACAGCTAGACCCAAGGGAGCGCCTTGAATTATTATTGTAAAAACACAAACAATTAATAACTTAACAAAGATCAATTTAAACACGCGACAAATAAATTGACAAGACACGAGATACAGTTTGTTTTTTTTTTACGTTTTTTTTGAGCAATTTTTCATCTGATTTCCAAACACTCATTAAACATTAATTTCCTTTGGATTCTTTATAAATTATTCATGAGTTTGAGAAATAAGGTGTAGGTGTGCATATTAAACCTATTTTAGGGGCACCCAACAACGTAAACTGCTCTACAACCCGCGTTCTTTTTGAACGGCTAAGAAGCAGACTACCAACAAACTTGTCCTCCTAAATACCTTGGAAACACCTTTTAGGCTATCCAGAGTACCGTATATCTCTAGAAATTTATTTTAAGCGGCGCTGATAAAGTTTTAATCTGTTTGGTCATCCTAGGGCAATCTGAGTCTCTTCGAAGTTACAAGGGCTTTAGTATTATCTCCCGAAAACTTTAGACACAATTTTATAAGAGTTTTAAGAAGATAAGCATTTTTTCAATCCGAAAATTTAGGTTTCCTTTTTCTTCGTACAGTGCTTAACCTGGGTAGTGAAACTCGAAAAATTAAACTTCAGAAAATAGTGGGAAATTTATTATATTAGCTTCGAAAATCGTACGTGAATGGAATGGTCATCGAGAGATTTTTAGCAGTCCTGAAGCTATAGAAAATTTTAGACAATGTTGGCTTTTTCGAACAGATATTTTCCAGAAAAAATTTCGTTGGGTGTCCCTGCTATTTCCTCTATACCTTGTTTTAACTTTTGCCATTTTTCGCATATAATTTTGTATTTTTTTTATAGTTTGCACGAAATAAACCTGCAGTATCTTGACTGATGATTCCTAATAGAAAAAATACTTGCGTTAAATCTTATATCTATTAAGAAAGTAGAATTTTCCCGCCTCCGTAGCACAGTGATCGGACAGACTGAACTGTCTATGTTCACAGACTATAGATGTTTCTGCCTGGCTTTTACTATGAATAGTTATAATGTGTAAATTCATTTTCAAATCGCTAGGGAGGATGATTTTCCTGCTTTGTATATTAATCAAAATTTGCCCGTTAGCAGTTTACAATATCGATTGTCTTCCATTAAATTATATATTGATTTAGCCGGGGATGTAACGGCTACTCATATCAACGCAAATGATCTTGAACTTGACTGACGTACATGCAACGTGTTTCATTTTGTACCCGTGGATACGCGAAGCGTGGAAAGGAGTTTTGTGGGCACTTCAATACACAGATTACAGTCGGCTTCCAACTCGAGATGTCCCGATATCAAAAGAAGAACTCTTGTAGATCCATTGTTGCCGACGTCCACTGCCATCAAGGTTTACTTAATTAGTGTGTGTTAAATCGCTTCGAATGTTTCATATTACTAGTAAAGCCCCAGTTACCAGTAATACGGGCAACAAAAATCTTGCAACTTGTTTTACTACATTGCTGCAAAACGAGTTGAATAGCGATGTTGCGCGTTCTACCACGCGCAACATCGCTTTTCAACCGCACGGTTTTTTGTTGCCCGTTTTACTGTACCTTAAGGCCAAATTTGAGACTGGATTTTTGTCGCTTTATCTCGTCCAGGCTACACGGGGGCACGGGGGGCGGGAAGGGGTACAATCACGTGGTTAGAAATAGGAAACAAGGCACACAACAGCTGACAGAAGCTAAAAAGATCTATTGGCGAGTCCATAAGCTAAAGGGTAACAAACATCCCTCGGAGAAAAAAGTCGGATTTTTCGTGAGATAAACCAAACTTAGGTAGAGTTTGGTTCGTCTCATGAAAAAAGTTCGACGTTTGGCCTAGGCCTTACGTAATGATTTAAGCTTTTATTTAATACTAGTTTGCCTGCCATGATAGAAAACCACATCAAGATTACAATGTGCCAAATACACAAGCACAACATACATTACAGTTTATATATTTTATTGCATACACTGTACCTAGTTTTTATTTTTTTAGGAAAAAATTTAATTTAACTGTTGAAAGTTGTGTTTCATACATTTCTCTTCTTTACCGTTCGAGCGGGACGCGAAATGTGCGTCCAGTAAGATGTGAGTGCACAGTCATAGCATGACATAGCAGCACAAAAGTTTATTGGAACTCCACGTAATGCAATCTTTAAAACATAAACATTAAAAGTTGACACCTTTCTGAAAAAAAAAACCTTTAGAATCCTTTTTACTGAAATTGTGTTCTTCATTTTCTGTGTTTGGGTTATCTGCAGCGTCGTTTTATGATCTTTTATGCCCTGTCATCTTAAAACTTGTAAAATACTTAATAGGGCCTTGTTACGTGAGCCAGGAAAGCCCGGCTTTTCTGTATTTCAGTAAATTTTTATTTGATTGTTCTATAATTTCATGTATTAACATGATATGTTTTAAACAGGTAATTACAATAAAAAATATCGTTCAAAGGAACTACGCCTTAAACTGCTGATTAAAAAGTATAATTGGAATTCAAGCGTTCGTCGTCAAAGATGATTAGCTCGTCATAAGTAAATAACCTACAAGTGATCTTTGAAAAACTGGTCCGGGTCATCCCTGTTTTTAGTTGTTAACAGACGAACAGGAAGTAAGCGGTGTACTATCTGCGATTGAAACGGAAGAGAAAAAACAGAATTCAAGATTTCACTTAGACCATAATGCACCTTGTGTAAGCCAAAGAGATGATCATAGATCAACAAAGAAGACTTGCAATCTCGTTCCCAGAGAGGAGTGGGTCTCTTCTACAGCTCCAGTATGAGCCCCGATTTCATGCTAGTTCCAAATCATCAAAAAGAATAGTATTGGTGTATTTACTGTGTGAGATTTCTATTGCCAACATTTATCTTGGGTTTTCCCCGATATGACTTCTTGGGGTCGTTATTCATTTAATGTTCGTTAACATCTGAAGTGCCTTTAAAATATTCACAAACAAATACTTGCGAAAGTCCTGTTAAGAGCACAGTCATTGGCCGTTTTCGCACTAGAGACGGATTATCCGTTTGAGGGATATCCAGTGGATAATTCACGTCAGAGAGATAATATGTCTTGATTTGAAAATGGAGCGGTTTTAATTTTGGGTGAACAATCCGCCTCACTTTTTTAATTGTCCATGTGTTTACCCGTCAATGTTGACAGATTTTGAAGATGGATTATCCTTCTTGATTCGGGTGAAGGGGGCAAAGGGAGGATAGAACGAGAACCACGCGCTACTCTTACAGCACAGTTGGCCACGTGATTGTTAATCGGGAGACTGGTGTGCAAACACGGTCGGACCATCAATCCGAGACAAGGAATGACATCCTGCTAGGTGTGCACAAAAAAATCTTTACTTAAGCTCAGATGCTCTCAGCCATGAGCCAGCGATGCTGAGGCGTTGGGCTTGAATCTTACACTTTCCCAATCTTAGTCTCGGTAATGGACTGGAACTAGCTTACAATCGAGGCTTACGCATCCTATTACCTCGCATTTGCCTCGGTTGCAAGCTTGTTGCAGTCATCTATCAAGAATACGAATGCGGTCTGTTTAGTAAACGCATAAATAAAGACTCCGCTTTTCGAAAACAGCATTCCCCATTTGCACATCTCTTGAAATACTCCTTTTTTGCCCCCCAAAATTTTGCATAGTTTTTGTTTTAATTTCTCCTGGGTTTTATAGTCGTCCCAAGCGAAATTGAAGACAATGCGTGTACTAAATGTTGGGGGAGCAAACAAGGTGTATTGTGGGAGATGTGCTAATTGCGAATGGAACCTAGTCCCGTTTGTGATGTCTAGCTGTCATTGTGGGTGTGAAAGAGAAGGGAGTGATCTCAAAAGGGACGGGAAGGTGTTCTGCTTTATTATTTGCCACTGTAGTGAAAAACACAAAGTCGCATTTAGTACTTGCCAACTTCATTTTTTTAATCACCCTCGCTACACCCATGTCTGAAAAAGAAAAACCCCCTCTCATGTCGGTGGGACTAAAACTCTCTCTCGCTTTCTGTCATTAGTGCTCACAAGGCTTAGTCCTTGGCCCTTTACTGTTTACCGTTAGTCCATGCACAGAAAGATTCATTTCTTCCAAATCCATCCATAGCATCTTATCACCCATGCCGGAAAATAAGTACTTAATAAAGCCTCGCTTATGTTAATAAACTTGAGGAAAAAAGTAATAGTGGAATAAAGCATTATTCGCCGGAGGATCCCAAATCCTGACAGTTGCGCAACTTTGTACCTTCTAGCCCCATTTTAATGACCTCTTTGTCCTTACCGTCTTGTTTTTTTTTCTCTAAATTTTAGTTCTCTCAGGGCAGCCTGTTACCCCGGAGTTAGCCTGTCCGTAGCCTGCGTAGAAAGCGTTTCCTTGCGGTTTCGGAGCAAAGAACGAGGAGTCGAGGAACGAGAGCGCAGAGTTCAGATTGTGGGGACCGGAGCGTGCTTTAAAAATCGTACTTACTTTCTTTTGTTTGTTTTATATTTTTTCTGCTTGTTATTGTCACTTTTTTGCGTTTTGCTGTGTCTTTTTCCCCTATACAAAATAGAATTAGAATGCAAACAAATTGTTCTATTTCCCTCGCGTCAAAGTCCTCTGTCCACTCATCACCTTTACAACGTTGGTAGTTTTTCACATGGCACATCATGTGACAGCGTTTGACCAATGAAATCATCCCTTCATGCTCCTAACTCAGCCAAGGTAGCCGAGGCGGAAGCGCTGCAGAGAATCTGTCCCATTTCGTGAGGAATTTTCAAACTTCTAGCTGTTTTTATCAGTCTTGCAGTCATGGGTTGATTCAATCTTCTCACCAAGCGTTTCCTTATGCCGAGCTGTGCAGAGATCAAAGCAAAGATGGCTTCCACTTGGCTGCATCCGTTGTGCAGAATTCTTGAATTTTAGCAGATTTTAGGTAAGCTTAATTAAGCTGATTGAATTTATAATCTAACTTTCTTCCTTTGATTTTACAAGGCCTCTCCGTTGTTTTTACGTTCGAGAAGAAATCTGGGACTCATCAGTTTTCTATTAGTCCCTAAGGTATCTGCAAACAATGATCTTTCTGTAGTCGAGTACACGAAGACAGATCGCGTGACTCTAAAAGAGTGTGTTGAAATGCGTTTTGTAAATTACTTCAGAAGTAGCCAGACGTAAAACAGCTTCTACCGTAGGGTTTGCGGGCACTTGCTTTATAGCAGTCATTTTGATTTTTCCCTTCGAAATGGCCTTACATTAAAGAGATTTACAATCACGTTTACATGTGGTATAATGGATTACGTCCTTGAAAAACGCACTGTAGTCGATTAATAAAGGTAAATCAATACATTTAGCTGTCAGTAAACTGTAGATTAGACTGTATGATTGTAATCCGCGATCAAAGTTCGCCTGAAATTCTTGCAAAAAGCACAGCACACCTTCCTTAGCTTCCTTAACAACATAGAACTTTATCACAGTACAGGGAAACCGTTGAATGTAAATCGTTAATGACAAATATTATTCGCAATTATTAAGATTAAGCGGACACCCTCTATTAAGTGGACACCTGGCTATGGGAAGGTCCTGAAGGGGTCTGATAAATAGAGGTTTCACTGTAATTTTGTTTCCCTTGAATCGTGAAACAAGATAACCTGTTTCCCTTTGGACCAGTCATTAAGTGTTTAATGTTTTCCACTACCCAGCCATACTCTAGCTTGGTTTTCATAGAAACATTTCCCATGGAAACACGCCTAGTTAACGGGGCTAATGGATTAACTGTTAGCATTTGTCCGTGAAATTTTACATCTTTCACTTCTAAAATGGCTTTTTCCTTTACAAAGTCTGTATTGTAATAGCTCCCTTACCATAAAAAACCAGAAAAATACTAGCCATGAAATATGACTCACTTTCTGATGCAGCCACCTCATAAACTGGCCAATCACCCCTAGAAACTGTACTGAAAATTGCTGGGTGTGGTCATGTACAGTCGGTGTGAAGTAAAAGAATGTGACATTTCATCACAGATACATGCGTCAAGTGAATCCATTCACCTGTGGAAATCTTAAAGGAATGTGGATCTGTAATGTGTGGTTGTGGGTGGCTGGATCAGTTGTAAATGTGTTAATACTGCAAAATCCAATGGCCTGTTGGAGGACCTATCAATGGATTCCATTATTATAAACTAAAATTAATTGCAGAATCGTGGGCTCATTCAAATGCAACTAATAAATTACTGATTTCCTCAAAAAAGCACCCAGGCACTTGTTAAAAATTCCTGCTCAAGGAAGGGGCACTTATTGGGAAGAGGTCACTCAAATTAAGTTTTCCCGTTTAATGAATTGTAACTTTATTTTGGCTACATTTTTAATAGAAATTAAGGTAAATTACATTATCCATATACCGTAAATCCTCTATTAAGCCTCCTCTCTAATATGCCCTCCCTTTTCAGGGGAAGAAACCCCCTCTCTTTTAAGCCCCCTCACCCGTCAACCTCACTGTTCTTCACTAATCAGTCAATCACTGTAAAATGTCATTTGGACTGATCTGGGATAGTATATTTGTTTTTGACCCTTGGCTGCATTACCTACTACTTCATGTACTTAACTCATTTTCCCTGGAGATTTTGCCAAAAAATGAGTTTTAAAGCTAGTCAAGTGGTTTTCTGGTCACTGTGGTGCTATTAAGAGCTAACACTTACCACAAAGCTGGTTGCCGGTCTTACACTTCATGGCCTTCTGTTCCAGATGCAAAATATCAGCTTGCTAAGTTCAGGCATGCACAGAAAGCAAAATTTTGAGATTTTGGGGTTTAAAAGTGACACAGCAGTCTCGACTTTTACTTTTCTTTTTCTCTCCTCTCCTCTTTTTTCGCTTTTCTTGCCTCATTTTTTCTTTCTCTTGCTGGGCATTTAGTGGGCTTCATTTTGGTGGCAAAGGTTGCTAGGAAAACTTTTAGGATCGTAGGATTAGATAAAAGGAAAGGTAGGTGGGTAGTGGAACAAGGTTTTCATGGACATTTTCAGGTCAGTGTTACATGGTTTTTTGCCTTTTTCTCTGGTGTCCTTGACTGAATTGTGCTCATTCTGGTATGGTGTGATCTCTTCACTCTGCACAAGTTGGCAGACAAAGTTGTCCTTGACTGGTAAAATGGATGATGTCAAAAGCGGTAGAAAGCATGTGGACCGGCATGGTCGGCTACAGGCGGCTCAGGAGTGAATGGGTTAAGCTTTTCCATTTATAGAGGATTTATGGTAAACATTTTGTCAATATTATTGCCTTTCATCTGTTAAAACAGTGGTTTGTAATTAAGTGACGGTCCATATAGGCTCATTACACACGTTTACACATGTAAATGGTTTGCATGTTTATTATCTCATTATAATCATCTTGAATAATAACTGATTCTCATAAATTCTCATAAAGTGGATGTAGAAACATGTTTTCTTGTATCCCTACATTAAGAAAGTGAAGGGGGGGGGGGGGGGAGGGGGGATATTTTAGAAGAGGGTTCCTTTTTTATTTTTTTGGTTTTAAGGGTGGCCACTTTTTTGGGGGGGGCCGCTTTTTAGGTTATGAGCTGAAGTATTTCTTTAAAATGGGGCAATGCAAATAAAATAGTCCTGCCTAGGATGAAGTCCTGAAGCAACAATTAATAATATATTTTTTAATTTATTTTTTTTTTTATTTTAATAAAATTGTTTTTTTATAAATGGGGGGCACATAAAGGTTATTATCACATTTTTTAAAAATAAATTTTTTTTTTTTTTTTTTTTTTTTTATAAAAATATTTAAAAAAAAAAATTTTTTTAAAAAAATAAAAAAAGGGGGGTGAAAAAATTTTTTTTTTTTTTCCCCAAAAAAAAAAAAGGGGGGGGGGGGGGGGGGGGGAAGGTGGGACTTATTCAAGAGTGGTGCTTCTTTGATATTTTGGCCTTCAAGGTGGGCACCTTTTTTGGGGAGGCCGCTTATTAGAGCATGAGCTACAGTAATTGCTTAAAATGTGGCAAAGTGAATATCAAAGTCCTGCCCATGATGCAAGCCTGAAGCTACAAACCGTAACTGAATTAAAGTAACTCAAGGAAGGTGTTAAAAATACAAATGGAAAAAGGATTATCACTTTATTTTTCCCTGTCAAAATCCTGTAGACTGTCACATTTGCAAAGCACACGAATTATATTTAAATGCTCTGCTACAGTATATGTATGTTACATGTATGTCTTTGCTGGCTGTGGGGGGAGGTTTACGAATGACCGTACCATCACCAGTTCAAAAGTAATGTGTAATAAAAGTTATATGTAACTGGATGTCTGCTCTTTGTCTTGACATATTGCCCTTGATTTTATCATAAAGGTTCCTGCTACCAGTCAGTTCAAATCTTATGATGTGTGGGTTTCAGAGATCAAGCATCCATGTACCAAGCTTTGGTAAGACATTTTGCATTATTTCATACTTTGCCACAATTATCACACTTTTATAGCGGGGCTCCCACGCGCGCGACAGAGCCCCATACCCATAGATTATGGTCAACCTCTTTTCCTTTGGTTGTCACGTGAGTGTACGTACGTACGTACGTACGTACGTACGCGTCTACGGATTGTAAGGGTGGGGTAGGGGAGACTATCAAAAGGAAGGGAAGCGTGTTTCAGGCGTGTCTTGCCAAGTCCACATCTTTTACATTGGACATTCACAATATCAATTGACAGCTGTCAAAACAGGATAGCCACTGACCAGTATCCCATGACCTTATCGCGGGCTCATGTGTCAACTGATTGAGGTGACGTGATTTATTTGGAAGCTGTCCGTTGACCAGTTAATTATTTTACTAGATCACGATCAATGTTCAGTCTCATACTTTCTAGCTAGTTTGGGATCGGAGCACAGGAAAACTGATACACGTCAATGTTGTGATCCACTGACAGCTGTCAAAACAATGTATCCACTGACCAGTATCACTTGACTGTATCGCGGGCTCAGGTGTCGACCCATCGAGGTCAAGTGTTTTTTTGAAGTTATCCGCTGACAAGGTACTGGTTTTCAAATGATCGCAGTCTCAAGTTTAATTTTTTTTTAAATTCATATGAAATATGTTGTATTTATGTGCCACACAATTAAAATTTTGATTTCAAACTGATCTCGGACGCGAAAATTCAGCCAGCTGCTACAGGCAGGGAAGACAGTTGCTTTTGACTTTTCTCGCCATGTTCACGGGTTGGTCACGCTCTACGTCCAATTTTTATGCTCTGATTGGTCAAAATTTGACAGGTGAGTTCATGCGGAAAGTTTATGCAGCATCTTGTAATTGAATCTTGTTTACTTTGACAGCTGAAGCTGACAGAGTTTTGTGTCAACTTGTGATGTTTTTAACTTTCTTTTTCCACTGGATGTACAAAATGAAATTCAGCTGCTATAAGGAGTCTTCTGTTATTCATGGCTAGTTTGTTTATTGGGTTTTTGGTTGAGTCAAAGTGGGAAATCCAATTTTGGATGGCATCGTTTTTGTTTTCAACTTGCTTAATGCGTAAGAGGGTTGCAAAGTCTGAAGCGATACTCGCCTTACTTGATACCTTTCAGGAGCTGCATCTTGAGTGGTAAGCCTAAGTAATTATTGTATTTGATTGTTGTTTTTTATTCCTAATTTAATGAAGTCGAGCGTAGTTTAATGGTAATGGCTGATTGCTAGCTGGGTCGTGATCATTGTTAGCAGGTTTGTTCTCAGACAGACCTGGGGTCTGAGCCGGGTCAGTTTCTTGAACAGGCAGACTGTCTGTCTGGGACTGGACAGCATCACGTAGGTGGACACTGTTTCTGCAATAGGTATGTCCATTCACTTCCACCAGGTAACTCCGAGGGGCTATATTCTCTAGGATAACTCCAGGCTTCCAATCGCTGCAGGGTTGTTGAGGTTGTGCCTTGACTTGGACTGGCTGTCCAATTACTAGACTAGGTAGCTGTTTGGCACTTTGGTCATGGTAGTGCGTGCTTGGCGAGTTGTCTCTTGCACATCACTTGAGCTGTTACAGCAGACTGGACTTCAGGCTTGTACAGTGATTCCTTGCACAGGTTAGTCTCTTCAACTTCTTTGCGAAAACTCTCTTCTGGGCTGACTTGAAAAATCAGGAACTCAGGTGAGTCTGGTTTGGTATGACGCAAGGGGAGAGCAACTCCGGAGAGAGTGTCTCTTATGAACATTTGAGGGCCAGGCTTGTACAATACCTTTAGTGGGTACTTCTGTAGTCAGAGTCTCATCCTTTGAAGGCATTTGGGGCTTGTGAGGATTGGTTTTGAAAAGATTGTCATAAGAGGACAGTGTCTTGGACAGTGTCTTTTCCCAGAATTTAATGCTCAAATCATTTACCAACAAAGACAATTGCTAAACATTGTTTTTCGATCTGCGGATAGTTTCTTTCTGTCTGAGTTAGAGCATGAGAATCATAAGCAACTGGTTGTCCATCCTGAGTGAGGACAGCACCAAGGCCGACGTCAGAGCTGTCGCACTAGATGGTGACTTCTTTGCCGACAGCAAAATAACGCAAAACAGGTGCTTGAGTGATTAGTTCCTAAATGCTGACAAAGGCATCTTCATGTTGAGGTAACCAATCAAAGACAGAATTGCTTTCTTTTAGGCGAAGGAGGGGTTCGCATATGGTGCTGAGCTGTGGTACGAACTTGGAAAGGTAGGTAACTACTCCTATCAGGCGTTGAACTCCATGTATGTCTGTTGGACGGGGCATGTTCTGTATGGCTTGGATCTTCTCTGGGTCATCTTGAAGACCTTCTGATCCTAGTATGTAGCCCATGTATCCTACTTTGCTGAGCTTGAAGCGTAATTTCTTTTTGTTCAGCTTAGCTTGGGTGCGATATCCTCCACAGTGGGCATGGTTTCTGACAATGTCTTTATTCAAATGTAGAGGGTCTTGAGACACAGTCTGAGTTTGTTCGGCTTTCTCACTGCAACCATATTATTGATCCAGGGGTTGGTTTTGTAACTTTTGCAATAACGCCCAAGGCCTCAAGCTCTTCAATCTTGCTTTTAAGGTCATCTTTAACTGGAATAGGCACGAGTCTTGGATTTTCTAGAACAGGCTTGGCATTAGGGTCCAAATCTATATGATAAGTACCAGGTAGCTTGCCAAGACCAGTAAAGACATCACGATTGTTATGAAGGATTTTCTCTTTGAGTTAGTGACTCATCGCTAGTAAGGTCAACATGCAGGATTCATTCTTCATTGAAGTGAATAAGCTTCAGGGCTTCAGAGGCTCTTCCTGAAAGTAGAGAAGTGGATGCATGCTCAACAATTTCGAAGTGGACTTTCTTTCTCACACCATTAGCTGTACAGTAGAGTTTTGTGCTGCTTATGGGTTGTATCAGGGACTGATCATGAGTGATTTTCTTGTAATCCTTTAAAGTGATGGTGCTACACGAGGCTCCTGTGTCAACCTGAAATTTGATTGGCATGTTGTCTTCGGTTTTGTTTGCTGTCACCAGGATTTCTGTAATGTACTGCTTCTTTTGTTAGGAGATTGCAGGGAGTAGATGCTTTCGTCACTGTCAGGTTCATCTGATGCACCATTTTCATTCAACTAATTTACTCGCTGGCACTCATCTTTAGATTTCTTCTTTGGTTTCTCATTACTGTGTTTGGGGGTGGAGCAAAAGACTTTTGCAAGATGATTTTTTTGTTACATTTAGTGCATGTTTTGCCAAAGGCTGGGCAGTTTCTAGCCACTCGGGAGTCTCCGCAATATTTGCAGTTTTTGGTCTTGCGAGGATTCTTGCGTGGATCTGCATGGCGGATGCAAGTTTCGTTCCCGTGGATGAGATGAACAGTGTCAGTTTGTTCCATTTTGAGTCACTGACTTGCTGCCATTTCATTCGTACGACAAATATCGATGGCTTTTTGAAGAGTAAGCGTAGTTCCCGTGGCAGACTTCGCAGTGTCCATGATCTCGCAAACCAGTGACAATGCGGTCATGAAGCATTTCACCTTCAAATGTTCCAAACTGGCACGTAGCCACAAATTTGCGAGTTCAGTCAAGAACTGATCAAAGTTTTCACCAAGTTTCTGAGAACAACAGTTGAATACATAGCATTCATAAATCGTATTTTGTTTTGGGCACAAAATATTCGTCAAGCTTTGTGAGGATAACATCAGCATCTTGTCTTTCTTCTTCAGTCATAGGGAGATTTCTGCAGACATGAAGGCATTCTTTACCCATGATCGATAATAACGTGCTGCGACTATTTTCTTGTCTTTCTGATCCAGTTTGGTAGCAGTAGCATAATTCTTCCAGCTGTCTTTGAAGAATTCCCAATTTGAGGCTTGATCTCCTGTCATATCCATTTTTGACGGCGGAGGGATCATGAATTAAGACATGCTTTTAGTTTACGCATATGGTGGTAAACAGTTCTGACTTCAAAGTGGTGTGAGTGTGAATTCGTTGGTAATGAGGTCTTCACAGCCTATTTGTGTGATACCTTTGGTAAATGTCTTGATTTTCAGCGCCTATTTGTTTTGGCTTGAGCGATCTTCGGCTGAAAATCCCTCTTCAAAACACCATGTTATGGACTAGCATCTTAACGAGGCAAGCACATGGTAAACAAGCATGTTTTTAATGAGTCCAGGATGTGTGACTTTATACACTACATAACAATATCAAAATTCCCTGGAGTGGTTGGGGGTAGGGGTGATACTGCTAAGGCTTTCAGATCTTCATCCTGTTTAAGATTAGAAACCTCATTTCATGACTATGAACTGACATTATGGAAAAAAAAAACTTATGGTACCACACATGTAGGCCTGGCATGGAACCTAAATTAGTGAAATTGTATTCCCTGTTACGAGTTAAGACCCCCGAAAAGTGCCCTACCCTGTTCGCTGGCACATACTAGTGTAAACTAAACAAGGGACTGCCCAACCCCATGGAGGTACACCTTGGTATCATCCAGACAGCAGAGTCCAGGACTCCCCTCCTTCTGTCAGCATACCGCTGGGATAAATACTTATGCAGGATAGCATAATTAATGCTAAAGAGGTTGGGAAATTTTGAGGCTAGGGGTGCTTTCTATTCAGCCCAAAATTCCAGAAGTTTCAGAGGAAATCAAATGGAGCGGATCATTTTAGTTTGGCCTGGTCAGAATATTAAGCTGGTCCTCTTTGACTGGTCCTGCTGGTCGGACTGAAATGTCCCTTTCCATTTTACAAATATGTTGTCCCCACTTCTGTTCTTCTGTATTCTGGTTAGGCTTTTGTTGGGTCTGTAAAACCGGAGTGTACTCTTTCAAAAAGTGTCTTGGGTTGGCAAGAGGTTTTAATTATATCCAAAATTCTGAAAAACACACCATTAAAAGGAATTATGTTGTTTATTTACATAAGTAATAAAAGTTACACCAGTCCAAAGTTCCACTTATCAATGCATTTTATCTAAATGTAAAGTTATGTACCTCAGGCTTTTATTTACCCCAAAACGTAGACCTCATAGCTGTAATTATAACAAAGAAAGACAACAGTATACCTATTTTTGTTTTGGTGCATAATTTCCTTTGTTCTTAGCTCTAATATTTTAAAAGGAGACTGTTTTGGTTTAACATGAGAACAGATTTTACGTATAACTTTTTCAAATTTGGCTCAATTTGCCTGTATTTGGACTGAAATGAAGGATGTTGAATACAATAATGCATGTGAATTACCCAATTGAGTCCTAGAGAGAAAGAGCAGACTGGACTATTCCCAAAATTAAACTCCCACAAAAATATAGGGTTAAATTGTACTAGGTAACATTGCACCAATATTTACAGTGTGCATGCACTTTTTTGTGCTTCTATTGTAGTGTTCACGTTCGCAGTGTTAAAGGATTTTTAGGATTCCTGTGGTGTCCAGGCTGATGGAGGTAAGTTGGAAAATTGATCATCTGTTAGTTGTTAATAGTGTTTGTCTAGTGAAGATCCATTTTTGCTGGTGTCTTCAATCTCATGTTGTAAGATTAGATTTGAGGTTTGAGAAGGTTTTCGAAATGTTGGTGGAGGGATGGTGATGACATCAGACTCTAGATCAGGGGTGGGGTGGGGGGTCGGATTTAAGCCCTCTCCGTTCCATCACTTGATTTTCTCTGACAAGAAACGTTTTTTTACATTACACTCCTCCCCCCTTCCCCCCAACACACACACAGGTCCTTTTTTTGTATTAAATAGAAACATGCTGGTGGGCAATGCTGTGATGGACTAGCATTCCATCCAGGGAGGGGTGGTAGGGTGGTGGGTGGAGTTGTAATATTATTCACTCCATGGTGCTCCATGGTGCTTCAAGCCAAGATAAGCTCTCACTGTGCTGGCTTGTTTTAAGCACCTCTTCCATCCATAGGGGGAGGGTTGGAGTTGTAATAATTATTTACTCCTTGGAGCTTCATGCTTCCCTGCTGTGCAGGCCCTCTGGCTTGTATAAGTACCTCTTTTGGAATGTTGAGTTAGTGAACCCCAAAGGTCAATGATCAATGATCCTCACCTCTCAGCAGTTGCAAAAAAGTTAGTAACGTACTTCATCTCAGCCAAATTTACCCAAAAAACAATGCTTGAGTGTCCTAACTTACATGTAATTCCGGTTTGTATGAACTTATTAAGGCGTCTTTTAAGGAAACCCTTTAGTAAATTTATAATGTTACTCTTCTTTTAGGATTTGTCATCCTTTCCAAGCACAGCCTCTACATCACAGGAAGACAATGAAAGCAATTCAGGATCCACGACCTCCAGGAAATTGAAAGTTACTCTGTTAAGCAGTGAATGGAGATCAACAAAAGGAGGCTTGTCGACCATCAACCGAGAGCTGGCCATTCAGTTGGCGAAACACCCCAGTGTGGAGGTCAGTGTTTATCTTCCTCAGTGCAGCGAAGAAGATAAAAAAGTTGCTGCAAGTCGCAATGTCCATCTCATTGAAGCAGAAGAAATGCCAGGTTTAGAACCAGCTCTCTGGTTATCTTGTCTGCCGGAAGACCATTCTGTGGACTGTGTGATAGGACATCGAGCCGTTTTTGGTCGGCAAGTGCAGATTATAAAACGACATCATCATTGCAAGTGGATTCAGGTCGTTCATACAGCTCCTGAAGAGCTTGGTATGTACAAGTCCTATGCAGATGCCATTTCAAGAGGCGAGAAAAAGCACCAGGCTGAGGTAAAACTCTGTGAAAAAGCTGATCAAGTTGTAGCAGTTGGACCCAAGCTGGCTGAAGCTTTCTCAGGTTATCTCCGTAGATGTGGAAAGGATCAAGATGTTCTTAATCTTACCCCAGGCATCTTCTCTGAGTTCGCTGATGTAAAGCAAGCCACTGAAGAAAGAAAAACATTCAGTGTTTTAGTGTTTGGACGTGGTGACAATGAAGACTTTCGGCTGAAAGGATATGACATCGCTGCTCGTGCTATTGCCGAGTTGAAAGACGAGACACAACCCTATAAACTGTTGTTTGTTGGAGCTCCAAGTGGAGAAGAAGAGAAAGTTGCAGATTTGCTACTGGAGCAAGGCATTGATCGCAGTCAACTAACTGTGCGTTGTTTTGATGAAAGAAGAGAGCAGCTAGCCCGATTGTTTCGGGAAGTTGATCTTGCTATAATGCCATCACGAACCGAGGGATTTGGTCTAGCCGCCCTTGAGGCTTTATCTGCTGGTCTGCCTGTGCTGGTCAGTGAGAACTCTGGTCTTGGTGAGGCTTTGAAAAAAGTTTCGTTTGGTTCACACTGTGTAGTGAAGTCCGAAAATCCTGAAGCTTGGGCCAGTGCAATCAGAATTATCCGTGAAAAAGACAGAGAGATGCGACTTGACGAGAGTAAAACCCTACGTGAAAAATATGCTATAAAGCACAACTGGCAGGATCACTGTAATAGACTCATTGAAATAATGCGAAACATCTCTCAAGGTAAAGAAATCACACTGTCGTAAGTAAGGTCTCTGTGTTGTTATACCCACATGTATTTACAGGTTTGCTAGCTAGCTGTGCCTTATGCAAGGTAGAGAGAAGTCACAGTGAAGTGGACAGTGACAAAAAAATGTGCCATGCACACAGTTTAATATATCTGGGGACATGTTTAAATTTGCGTAATGTTGGTTTATTTCGTACATCAAAACAAAGAGTTACGGTCGCCTTTGATTGGCCCAACAACTGATTTCAAATTTCGTGCCTCGTGAAGGTTCGCAGAGCCCTTGGAACAATCTGTCCTAGGCAGGTCGTACCGATAAAAGTGATTTTTTAAATGCCTTTCAGTTTAGGATTTTACCCTACTGATAAGAGCAAGTCTACTTTCAATCCGTTCAATTGTTCTCCAGTGCTTTCAAGGAATCTACATCAAACAGTTTAAATAAGAATTTAAAAAATGATTAGTTTTTATATTTATTATTTTTAGAAAATAGTGCATCGAATGAGTAGGATTCGTCCGTAACAGCTACTGTAGATATTCAACCCTCTGGAAACCTTCGTGTTCTGAGAAACTTTCTCTAAAAAGTATACAGTAATAACCCGCTATTATTAACCTAGTTTTTAAGGACCAGTTAGGCTAAAATGTGACAATTATAGTGTAGACCCCTTCTACACAAGAATCTTAATTATTAGCCTAGGATTTGAAACAGGTTCTTATCTATTGAAATCAAGTCGTGTACATGTATGTTCTGAAGGAGGACTTCAAAATTCATGTAATTGCCTTTGGTGCTTCAGCTTGTCTTAAATGTATTGTAGACACCTTCACATTTTTATTTAAAACTCGATATGCAGATTTATACAAAAGGAATAAGGTGTACATCACTTAATTTTATTAGCTAAAACGTTTTCTTTTTCTTCAGAATTTAGAACCTATTCAGTAAGATGGCTAAATTTTCTCATAATTACCTTTTATGTTTGAAACTTTTTAGGCTAATTTGGGAAAATGTAGGTCCTTGCTCACAGGGTATTACTGAACTTTTGAATCTTAAACAGTGACTTTAGTTTCCTTAAGAGAAAACGTTTCTTAATGCAGTTTTGCATGCTTGTGTTAAACTACTCTTTCCAACTTATTTCATTGTTACTACTTTGCTAGACCGTGTTTGTCTTAATATGGCGAATGGTTTAAAGGCTCCTCTTTCTAAAAAGTCAGCTTATGCTGTACAATTAACAAATCGAGGACAATTTTCCAAGGTCTGTACTCTTATAGACCATAGATCGACATAGAAATGATATCAAAATGTTCATAACTTATGTGGTTCGGCGTGTGGTTTTACTGCAAAGTTATGGACATTTTGACGTTATTTCTTTGCTTTATATAAGAGTACAGAACATGGAAAATTATTTTCGAGTTGTTTTTTACACTAACCTGGTCAGTTTTAGGCGTCAATTTCCGTTTACGTTTCTAGGAAAATCGCGCGCGAGAAAAAGAAAAACCGATTTTCCCACCATCATGTTATATCCATGGTCTATACTCTCATCGACTTTAGCTCTGGACCAGTAGGTGGAATCGCTCAGTTATTGTCAAAAAGGGCGTTTACTCAATGGAAAAAAAAAAACTGAACAAAATGAAATAATACAATTTCAGACTCATCAGAGGGAGTTCAACCTGTGAAAAAAGGTAAAAGGCCATTACCTCCAAGTGGTGTCCCAGATCCAAAGCAACCAAGACTGCCACGAGATGAAGGTGAAGTTTGCGTTTGCTACCCGTATAGCTTGAGTCATTTAAGCTTGACCAAAACATTGAGCTGTCTACTGACCCTGAGTTTTATGCTTTCTCGATTGGAGGCTTACAAAACAGAGAAAGGCAAATTTTTCAAAGTCACGCCAAAACCGTCAGCCTATAGATCGCAGAACATGTTCACACGAACATTTCACGGTGGACCAAATCTTGCTATATATATTACAAATATCTAACTACTTAGTCAACTTATTACGTTAAATACAAGAGTTAAGAAACAGTAAGAAAGCCTGCTTTACAAGGAAGCTGTGTATAAAACATAGTTAAAAAAATCATAAAGTATCACTGTCAACTTTGAAAGTTTTAACTTAGATTTGAATTCATCAAGTCATTGATGGCGTTTTCTGATCTCCAGAGGAAAGCTGTTCCACAGCACCGGTGGACTGTAGGGAAGACTGCGTTAGCGATAATCATTGCGTGGATGAGGAAGGGCAAGCCCATGGTCACTCGGTCTCAAGTGGTAAGTTAGAGAAACAGGAAGACGTACAAAACGCCAAACTCAGATATGCAGGAACCGTGTCATTCACAATATACAGTACATCAAAATTACTTTACTGACCAAGCGCTGGTAGTCAAGTTTCAGCCAATTTAACTTCTGAAAGAGTCACTAGTGCAATAATTAGAAAAAGTTAAAACGCGTGCCGCATCAGTGATTCTGCGATTTTGAAGAAAGGCTCGTAAGGCCTGTTTACATGGAGGTGGGTGACCTCAGATAGGCGTATCAAGAAAAGCGACCTGAATTCGAGAACAATAGGTATTGTTCTGTATTGTTTTTTTTTTTTTATCTTTTCTTGCCTTGTAAGGACAAAAACGATCAACGTGACACAGTAGCTTTCACGCGCAGGAAATTTCAACATTTCCGATAACTTTTTTCGAAGACGTTTGAATTTTCGGCGCGTCCGAAGTAAGGAGCAATTTCAACCCAGGGGATGGGTAAGAGTTACAGTAGTCAGGACGAAACATACGACGCAGTGGTGGTAATGTGAGGTAAGTGCTGAACAGACGAGTTTACCAGTTGCATCCTTGTGTTTTACTTTGGGCTGAGCCTATTGGCAGCAACCTTTTACGCAAAACATGCTCGTTAGTATTGCTGTAAGGAACTAAAATATAGGCTCGAATAGAAGCAGCTGAGAACTTACATTCTCAAACTCATTTATAATTCATTAAGAAAATACAAAGGAAATTAATGTTTAATGAGTGTTTGGAAATCGGATGAAACACTGCTTAGTATTTGCATCCTTAATTTCTCCTTCAAAAATGATTTTGTTTGAGAAGAAATATCAAACATTCGACATAGTGTTTCATCACCAGATGAAACACCTCGAAGTTCGTCAAAAATACTCCGCTGCGCGTCGTATTTTCAACTCTCTTCTCGGTGTTTCATGTAATATATCAAACATGAGATGCAGTGTTTCATCACCAGATGAAACACCGAGAAGAGAGTTGAAAATACTCCGCTGCGCGTCGTATTTTCAACTCTCTTCTCGGTGTTTCATCTGGTGATGAAACACTGCATCTCATGTTTGATATATTACATGCAGCTTGTTTGATCGCATACGCTTTGGTTGTGATTTTTTGTATACTGGTTACAGTGTATTCTGTTTCCGAGATGGCAACATTCCAATTTCGCGCTAGAGAACTTTGAATCTACGTGCAAATGAAGTTTAAAGTTTACAGTCGTTCGTTAGAACACGGATTGTCTTATTGGAATTAAAATCACATATTATTCATGTATTGAAAAGCGTAGTATACAACAGAGGATCAAAATCAAGCCGCTTCTTGTCAGTAAACAAAAGACTGAAAAAAATCACACCTCCTTTTTACTGGCCCGCGAGTTTTAAAGCACGGCCCAACGCCCCCAAACTGATATTATTTATTGCTCTCTTCGAGTGAAAATTACACGTGCTTGGTGCTGAACATCTTCTAACACGAACGCGCAATACACTTGTGCAACCTTTCGGACAGGGTTAAACGGGACAAATCGATCTATAAAAGCAAATTTTCCGTCGGCGGTTAATACACTGAGAGGAATAAGAAAACAAAAGGCTGAAAAAATCACACCTCCCTTTTACTGTGCCGCGAAGTTAACCAGACACTTGCTTATCAGTAAAATTTACTGCTCCGACTTCAAGTAAAAATTACACGCTTCTCTAACATCCTAAAGATGCGGCTGTAATTGCTTAACTTTCCGGGCAGAGTCAGACGAAACTAATCGATGTATAAAAAGCAGATTTCCACTTGGCAATGACGCGAGTAAGTAAGGTAACATGTGGCGGGTCACTCCACCTATCATGCAAACGTGATCAAATTAAATTGAGAGATTATATGGACAGGCGCGGCGGGTTACCCCACCTAAGCGGGTTACTTCACCTACGTGGGGTCTCCCAGGTGCTTAGAACAGATACCTCATATCACGGAAAAGTAATCAAAATTGGACTGTTCTTACTAATTGTCCAAGGTGCCGTGATTGGATCTCGAGAGAGAGAAAATGCCTAATAAGTTTGAGAAACGATTAATTTTGACATTGAGCTTGTTTGAAAGCTTGACAATTGTTGCCTAGAAGAACCAAACAGAAATTCAGTCGGTCATATTCAATATTGGTTTGCTCGCTACAAGCCACTAACGAATTCTCTCCAGAACTCTAGCTAATACAAAAAGAATATTCTAAAAACTAAGACTTCTAAAGAATATGTTAAAATAGCTAAGAAACAGCTAAGCCGAGGGTGTGTTCAAAACAAAGACTAATGACCTAAAAATTAAAACTAATATACTGAGAAAGCGAAAGTAGTTTACTCAATACGTACACTCAATAAATTAATCAAAAAGAAAAGTTTTAAAATTCCTCTTAAACTGAAACTCTGAAGCTGTGCTCGAATGTTGCATATTAAAAGGAAAAAAGTTCCAAATCTTCGGAGCCCAGATATTGAGGGCAGAACCCATTTTTATACGAGCTTCATGCACAAAAAGAAGCTTAAACACAATCCGATACGAGACCAGCAACCAATGGAGTTCTGTTCTAATAGTGTGGGGGGTGATGTGCTCATATTTCGTCTTACCAGTGAGTAAACTAGCAGCAGTGTCCTGAATTAAGTAGATAGGTTTATTAAAATAATGAAATTACAGCTGCAGGCTGAATTGCTTAATTATTTACCCTACTATAAAAGGTATAAACATTTTGGTAAAAGACTAATTACAATTTTGTTGATTAGGAGTAATGATAGTAAAAACTGAAAAAGAAAAGAAAAATAACGTGTCTGACTCATTAAACTTTATCAAAACATTTAGCTGTTTGCCTGAGTTTTATGCTTCCTCGACTGGAGGCTTACAAAACAGAGAAAGGAAAATTTATCAAAATCACGCCAAAACCGTCAGCTTATGGATCGCAGAACGTGTTCACACGAACAGTTTGTCAATAAATTGTAAAATTCAGTTAGAAATTGAGAAGTTACCAGAGTGAAAACAGTTCTTACAGGTTTTATTGAACTTTTTGAAGCTTTCTGGGTGGATGAAAGTCCCAAGGTATTTATTAGAAGAGTATACTAAAGCGCGAAGTGAGCGAGGAGCGTCAGAAATTTAAAAGTTCAGTTTTAAAACACGGTACTGATCCAGAAAAGGAGTCCAACGTTTTGTCGAGTTATTTAACAAAAATATACTAAAAAAATTAAGGGCGGCTCGGACAGGCAAATTACTTTAAACGTGTTTTATTATATCTAATCACTTCAATTTTTTCACGAAAAAAAAAGACGCATTTTGTTAAAATCACAGCAACCCAGAAATGATTGGTACATAACGTAGTTATCTCCGCGCACTTGGCTGTTCCACTAATTATAAAGCACAATAAACACTGGTAATATCGTGATTAGGGACCATTAGAAGTTGGGGGAAGAAGTCTAATACCCCTCCCCTACAAAAATTAAATGACCACCAGTGCAATGACTCCCCCTTAAATGTTTCAACCAGTGATTGACAAGCTAGTAGGGAATGTGGATAAACGAGATAAAGGTCTCTTGTCATTCATAAGTCATAGGCGCGTTTATTATTGTATTTTCAGTGTACTTTTCCAAAATACCTCGACCAAAGGTTGGACTAAGGTTGGACTCTTTTTTCTGGAGTATCGTTATCACAATAAAAACTGACCTTTTGTGCCTCCGACGCTCCTCGCTCGCTTAAAAAGCGTAAAAAAAAAAACATAAAAAAATCGATCCTCGACATGTTACTCTCTACCATCAACACCTCGACCAAACGTCGGACTCGCAAAGAATTATCTAAATTTATCACATCGCTTCAATATTTACTCAAATTTGCGCCTTCGTTAGGCAACTGAAAATATTTCAGTGGACAAGAAAATCGGGCATTTTATAGTACACTGATCAATCGCAGCACTGAAACTTTTTCAAGAAAATCTATCGTTGAATTTTGGTTTAATCACTGTTTTCCTGGAAGTAGCCTTAACAATTACAAAAAAAGCTCAGCACTGCGTTTTACCCCAATTCACATGTTTTCGAAATCGCGCACTTAGTCTTCTTGTGTTTCTTCTTAGTCGATTGTAGAGTGTATGAGGGTCATTTGCAAAACGAATGAGCGATAAATCCTTTCCAGAAACATGCATAAAGTAGAAAATTTGTTTGTATAAAGTCCAGTCCTCAGTTCATGCTCAATTTATATCCTTCGTTTAGAAATTCCAAGATATCTCGAATTTCGTCGCATAGATTTCTGTGAAACTTCGCATAACGGAAGCGGCGCAGCCTCACGAAACCTTACAAAACTACGGCGGCGTCGGCAACGGGAACGTCTAAAACACAATAGGTTTTATGAGCAAAACAACCACGTTAACTCTGCCCGTGCATCATGCTTTTTTGTAAATTTCTTTTCCGTTCCTGAACAACTACAACGTGAAATGACCAAAGGTTGAGTTGACTTGAGAACGGGAACGGCAAGGCGGCAAGTTTTGATCTCTCTCTCTCTCTGAACTCGGACGCGGTCCCCTCTCTTCTGCTCCAACCTAATTTCCCTAATTTCAAGTAACTGGGTGACTTGGTATAACCGCGAGAAAGTTTCGACGGACGCGGCGTCGCCGTTGTCAGATAGTAGGGAGCTTTAACAACGACCACGGCGACGGCAACCAGGACGTCAAAAAAGCAATAGGTTTATTACGCAAAGCAACAACTTTGCACGTGCATCACGCTTTTTGTACATTTCTTTACCGTCCTTGCACGACTACGACGTGAAAATGCCTAATTGCAAGTTTTATGAAGGACGTAAACAAGCGACGACGAATCTCTTTTTCTCTCTTTAAACTTGAGTGCTGTCCTCAAGAAATCAACTCCAGGGAAATTCGCCTACACTTGCCATTTTCAGCAAATTGGAATAAACGCGACAAAGATTGAAAAAATGGGAATTCATTTTAAAACTGACGTTGTCGCCGCCGTTGCCGTCGTCGATGCTAAAGCTCCCTAGTAAGGTCCCTAGCATGGTCGGCGCTCGACCAATCGACGACTAACAACGGCAAATAGTCGGTCGAATGTCGACCGAAGGATAGCTGAAGCATATAAAGAGTAGAAATTCCTCAGCAGTGAACGCAAATTGCCTTAGTGAGATAAGGTCAAGACATCGTTCGGAGTAACAGTGAACATGATTTCAGCAAATACTTGAACTTGTACTTGTCTTTTTCTTTGTTTGTTTTTAATTTGACGGCGTTGATAGGTCTCTACGTGCTTAAGTTACTTTTTTGCTGGCGTCGCTCATAACAAAGGCTTGTCTATCTTCACAATAAGTCTCTGGTCGGGCAACTTCTTGTGCATTTTGAGTTCGCTAGGCCAACTAATTAATTGCACCATTTTCATCCCCCTGTGTCCTTTTTTGTAAGACTTATTGCGACTATCAGAACTGCAGGTGTATTAAGTCTGTCAAACGTCTTTTCCGATTAATGATGTAGAATCACTCCGGCACTAGACTTTCTTGTCCTTTTCTAAGGCGTCACAAACTTTTTTGTCCTTCTCGATCGTCAATTGTTGGAAACATCTCCTTTTATTTTGAAATGGATTTTCTTACTTTGACACACAGAACTCTAAAAGGTTTAAATGTTTATATCTTTTTACTCTGGCGCCACAAAATGCTTTATCACCTAATTCACAAAAGCGCCATGCCCAGTAGACTGAACTAAATTTATTTATTTGGAGAAGCTGTAGCTTTATTTAGATAATCACGTTGGTTACTTATCTTACGCTAATTTATGCCAATCATCTCTGCTTTCAACTATGAAAACAATAAGAACAAGCTAAAGTGAAGTATTTTTGCATATGTTTCAGCAGAAAATCTTGCCATTCAGATTGACGCCGTTGAACAAGGAGGATCTTCACCATTCCAAAATGTTACTGGGAAGGAAAATGTCGAGGATAGAAGAGGTACTTGTGCGCAAGAGGTCCTGGCTCGTATTGCAGATAAGTTTATTCAGAAAATTGACCCCTCAGATGAAGAGGGGTTTAATGGTTTTCTTCAGTATATGGAAAAAGTGCGCCAAACAATAGTTGTTGATGTCAAGACGGGAAGCTTGATAATCACAGTCCGGTGTACCTCACTTCGTATTCTGGACGATCTTTGGAGAGACTATTGCACGGGCCATCTACAAGAAGTGGCGCAGCGGTACCTTGTAACAGAGGACATTCTACAACAGTTGGGCCTTGATTCAGTGCAACTAACGTTGACTATTAGTGAAGAGGAGTACAAAGCTTACCGAGAGAACTTTTTGAAAAATGAAGGTATGAACAGAAAAAAAAACTTTTCCATTTGCCGTAAACATGATTCTTAATCCCTCCATTCGTACTTTTAATGACTTTTATGCAATCCGCCTACCGTAAACATCACTCCTTTTTTCGCCTGAGGACTACATGTATTGATCGTCGGCAAGATGTTTTTTTGGTAATACTTGATCCGTGAGTCGCACTTTTTGATACCCTAGACCATACTATACTGGTTTTTAATTACTCCGGTTTTTCCACACAGTGCAAACATGGTTTTCATCTTACCATTTGCACACATTCTGTTATCATAGCAATCGGAGGTTAGGGTTTGGAGTCTCTTGTTTACCCTTTATATAGCCATAATCTCTGCTCATAAGCCGCCTAGACTGTACTATCTATGCACATGATTCTCAACTACACGTTACTGTTGATCCTACCCTGAACACCATTCAGAAGTGTATCTGTGAAGTTATAAAATGGAACACCAACTATAAGTGCAGTCCTTGTAAAACAAAGGTCATTCAGTTTAGTTCTGGTTCTTCAAGAACCTAGTTTTTTTGGGTTTTTTCCTATTGGCAACGCTCTAGTACAACCATCAGGCTGAGTTTATACCCTTGGTGTCAATCTAGATAGAGAGCTCAATGCTATACAGGCTATGCTGGCAGTTCGATGTATGGGAAGATGAAGGAAGTTTGGCTGAGCAAGGATCACCTTAAGATAATGGTCAATGCTTTCGTCATGTCACACTTTGATTATGTAACAGTGTTTATACAGCTGTGGCCTACCCAAGCGAGAAATATATACATGTAAGCTGCAGCGGGTTCAGAACTGTGCCGCACGCTTAGTTTCGGAAAAAGAAGATCCGACAATATAACTCCCGTCATGAAAGACTTGCACCAAGAGAGAATGATCTAAGAGAGCGAATCCCCCATACATGACCCTCTTCCCATGAAAATTATTTTCAATCTACTCTTGGTTCTGTGTCATACTGCGTGGTTATTTTAAGGACGCCACCTTATTGGTCGGTTAGAGTAACGTTATGTAATTTTAAACCTGGCGGGTAATTCATTTCACTGCCGATCACGCACAGCAAGCGATATGACGTGCAAACTTGGCATTACTTTCGTCGACGATGTAGATCCTTAGTACTTGTCCTCACTCCTTGTAAAATATTAACTGGCTCGTTTACCCCTTTACGTCTCCTATATTTTTGGTCAAAGTTCCAGCAATCTCACGGTAAGCCTGCTGTGTGATCGTTGTATGTGCACGAGTGAGACCCTAGCAGTCATCTTTGCACTGCACCTTTATCCAGGCTAAAGGCGGTAATGCCAATTTTGGGCTTGGTGTCTCGATTGATTGATTGCTTTTTGTTTGGTTTAAAAATCCAAATCCATACTAGGAGGTTCTCTGCACTGCAAACTTGACATCCAGCAATACGTGTTAGCATAGTTAATTAAAGTGGAATGGTTGGGAAACCCTTTGTTATAGGTTTTTGTTGGCTTTTTTGGACCTGACCATGCACGACGTTCAATAGCATTCCTATCATTTTGAACTTACTGACCAATAGAAACATTGCATTAATTTATTCAGTCACAATTTGTGACCAAAAATATATGATTGTGCACGGTCAGGGAGCTTCCAACATAACCAAGCAATCTCCTCTACTAACTGTGTTCTAAGGCAGCAGGACCTTGGGTTCTTTTCTCAATTCTTATATCCCTTCGATCGCAGTGATTTTTTCCACAAAGGCAGCTAATGAAGAGGTGTTTAAAGCTAGCGTACTGCACTTTTCAATGTCTTCTTCAAAAGATGCTACAACGAACCCTTTTGAGTTTCTTGTTCACTTGTGTGTTTTTTCTTCCGAAACGTGATAGCAAATCTCCCTGAGTGAGTCGGTGTGCGCATCCATGTAATAAGAAGAATATCTTTAAACCTATCGTGTGGCGCTTTTTTCAATGTTTTCCTCAAATGATGGCAGGATGAGTCGATTCGAGGTTTCCCTTCACGTTATGTTTAGTTCAAGAGTTTTCTTTCCCAAAATGTGACAGCAAATTTCTCACTGTAAGTTATTGCAGTTCTCTCTCTGCGTGTGAATCAATCATTCTTTACCGACAGAAGGGGAATATGCTATTGGTACATCGCACCGTCAAATAGAAACATATTCACTTGGATAATCAGAATGGCTTTAAATGCCATATCAGACAAACAAAACTAAAACTTAATTTGGGATTGGTCAGAATTTCCAAAAGGAAGTCCTAGCTGCAAATGCCTATCCTTCCTGAATTTGCTTCTTAGCAACTTGATCGCTTCAACTGAAAGCTAAATGAGTTCATTAGCATGCCATTATTCCTATCCTACCTGAGGGTCTGAATGGGATATAGTGTTTAGTGTTATTTGCTCATAATTTTTAGTGTTTGCTGTTCAACTGGCCAATTTTTTAATGTTAACCGTTTCCGGATAAAATGTTGTTAAGTATTTCTTAGACTCATGCCGCAGGAAGGTATTCATGGCAACCCTGGAACGAGGGAACCACCCAAACGAGCACCCGCTAACCGGCACCATTGCACTGAGATAAATTTAGTGGAAATAACGTACCTGAAAGGATACTCTAGAACCAAACAAAACAGTGGGAGGGAGCAGAGGGTGCAACAATCCACATTCTTTCGCAAGTGATAGCTGTGTTTTTGATCCGCAAAGATCAGCTGATAACACTGCACGTATAAAGCAATGAACCTTGAATCCCTGCAAAACCCCTGGAGGCCACCTCACAGGTCACGTACTGCCTATGGTAGACGGCTGGCTGCATTTGCTTAAGTTTAACTTTGCCTAATGAGAGTTTTTCGTGACAAAACCCATAGTCTTTTAGCAGAGTCAATTCTTATCTTCTCTTGTCTCTTGGAAAATTGATAATAAAATCACTCACGAACTTTGAGCCTGTGCTTAAAGGAGCTGTAGGTTATTTTTGGGCCCATGTGCAATAGTATTCTGGGAAACCTGGGGAGTACTGGGGACCATTCTTGTATCAAACACCCGCAATTCTTTGGTCAACATCATGAAACATCATGGCGGCATTGACAGCAGTTCCCTCCGGTGTTTCTCTGGTGTTGTTAAAGTTCTAGTGAGTTTTTCTTACATATTTCACATGTGAATATAACTACGAAAATGAAGCAAAAAAAGTTTAGATTTCTACTCGGAAATATTCGGTAGTCATCGGAAATGTTCTTAAATAATCAGGAATTGTCAGAAAGTGACCAAAAACTTCTTAATATACTAAACAAAATAATATTGGCGTTTTTGGAGCCGTTTTTGGTTCTTTCTTGAAAAAATTTACTGTTACAGAGAATTTTTTACTGTTAGTGTTAAAATGTCAAAAACTTAAGTGTTTAGTCTTAGCGGTACACCTCAATTCAAACCCTCCTACCTGTCTCCGCTGACAGGAAGGGTAGGGTATTTTCCTGTATATTTTGGCTGTGGTAAATAATAAAGCGTGGTCTCCTACTTTGAAATTCAGGCTGCTCCCTGCTTACACAAGGTTGACCCTGTTTCCTGTTTCCTAATGCTCTTTCCATTGTCGTGTACGTAGTGAGGATGAGAAGTGATGGTGAGAACTCCTTAGGGTAGAAGAGAAATTGCCTTTGGCTAGATAATTGCTTCTTCCTCTTGCGTTTTACCCTCATCTCTGAGCTGCACTAAAACTACGGGTCTTTTTATTGTTTTTCAGAAATTGTTGAACCAGTTGCAAACACCTCTCTTCCTGATGACCTTCCATTAGATGCCATCAAAACTGAGGGCGAACAGTCCTTACCTACTGATGCCACACCGTCAAAATTTTCTCAGGTAGATATAAAATAAATATGTGAAAAAGTCATAATGCAGTTGGGCATCTTTGAAAGTTATATGAATGTAAAACTATAACAAATAGTACACTTCTCAGTTCGGTTGTTTTTAAAAAAGACTCCTTATCGTTTGTCTCTGTCATTGATCGGGGTGTGAAGACCTCTTAGTAGCACCCTGGTTGCTAGTGACTGGTGCATTTCTAACGTCACTCATGATTGGTGGATTTTGATCCTTAGCATTGTTAGTGTTAGAATCTGTTCCTGCAGCGAAGCTGTGGTGTATTCACCCTTCTGCCTTCTCTGTTGATGTTGGTAGGGTGAACTCGACCCTACGTGGCACGCTAGTCTGTTTTACCCTACGAGAGTGCCAATTAGGATGTCTTCCAATAAGCTTAGCCTTGTCGGCTTAAAGAGGATAGTGGCTGTATTTATGTGCGTGATCCACAAACGAGTTTGTAAAAGCCATATGTCTATTTCATATTGTGACCCTATTGGTTGGATTAACGTGGCTCCAATCATAGCGCGCTGTTTTGAAAGAATTGTATATCATCACTACAGTAAGAAAGTGTACTGGAAAATCTGACGGACTCCCAATTTGCGTACAGGGATGGCTGTAGTTGCGCGGACGCCTTAATTGAAATAAATGGCATAGTGTGAACAAAGAAACCACCCAGGGTAGTGTTAGTGGGCCCCACCTTTTCAGTTTGTTTATTCATGATTTGGCCATTACGGACAATGACCTTACTAGCATACTCAAATATACTGATGACACTACTCTGCAAGTCAAAGTATGTACGAATGAAATAGATCCTTCTCGTGAGGTTGTCAATCAGTTTTTCAACTGGACACAAAATAATGCCATGGCATGTAATCTTAAAAAATGTAACGAATTGATACTTTGTAAGAAGCCAGCCCATTATGTAGGCCATGTTAACAATATAACGCAAGTTTCTTCTTTAAATCTGTTAAGGGTTACTTTACAAAGTAATCACAGATTTAATGCGCACATTAAGGTTAAGCTGCAGGAAGTCAGTAAGTACCTTTATGTGCAGTGATAAGGTGTTTGTGTAAAGAGGGATACCAACAACCAGATGTAAATTACGTTTTTTGATTCAATAATTCTACCGAAACTAACTTATTATCTTACCATATACACCTCCTCAACACCTGAATTAAGTACGGTCATGAATTTTCTACAGCGTCGCTGATTTATACGCAAATACATATCTTATCAAATTCACATATATGACGTCTTAGAAGAAACAGATCGCACACTATTTAAGAAGATCTCCAGTGCGCATGCCCGGCCACCCTTTGTATCCGTCCCAACCCAAAATAAAAGAACGTTCTGTGCACCTCCGAATTCCTAGCAGCCAACTCCCTTGAGTCAATACCTTGCGTTTTAAAAATAGTGTTATTAATGGGCTTTTTTTTAAAATATAA